GTTTTCACCATCTTTTGTCCCTTGTTTTTATTACTGTATGTTTTATTGTTCTCTGTGTTTTTATTTGTGAACCACCCAGAGGCAACAGGAGCCAGGCAGTGTAAGCATTTAATAAAAAAATAAAAGCCAAAACAAAGCCTATATGTTATAAATGCTATCAACCACTAGGAGGCACTATGCAACCAGTTTTGTCTTTATTGAGACTCCTCAGGCATAGGTACATATGTTCAAACCCCTTTCCCAGGATTTGAACTCACAGGCACTCAGAGACTCTACAGTGCATTAAGTTTTTATCTTCTCCTGGCTGTCAACTCCTGGAGCAGGGTTTGGACCTACAGAAGCTCCCAAAGTCCAATAAGTGTCAAAGACAAAACCGGTCGCATAGGGCCTCCTGTTAGTCAGGAGCAACTGTCAAATCTAAATAAACCCTTCTTAAGGGGAGAGGTCTTGAAGCTTCCAGCAGATAAGAAGAGTAAACTCTTTAGTCAGAGAGTGTGTAATGAAGGAGACAGTAAGAAGCCGATGTACGTGGACATCTCCAGATGGCGCACACAGAAATCAAATTAACCATATTACTGGTACAAGGAGGTAGAAGAGCTCATATTTATTTAATCAAATTTATATAGTTGCCCATCTCACAAGAAGTGACTCTTGTGGGTGGCGTACAACAATCAATAAAATATATAAAAACAATCATTATAAAATATAAAAGTCATTATTAAAAATGGAAAAAAAACACTATAAAAAATTAAAATATACAAACCACACAGAATGAGTACAAGATCAACCACAATGGAGCCATCTAAGAACATCTCCGGTTCCCTGTGATATAACCAGGTCTTCAGGGACTTCTGGAATGATAGCAGGGATGGACCTAACCTGACTTCGGGGAGAAGAATTTTCCTCGGGCAGGCGCCACAGCAGAGAAGGCCCACCTCCTGGGACCCACCAAGCGTAGGCTCCTGGCCAATGGTACCTGCAACATGCCTTCTCTGCCAGATCTAGCGGGATGAGCTGATGTAATCGGGGAGAGGCGGTCCCTCAGATAACCCGGCCCCAGGCCATGAAGGGCTTTAAAGGTTAAAACCAGCACCTTGAATTGGACCCAGAAGCAGACTGGCAGCCAGTGCAGCTCACAGAGCAGAGGTGTAATATGTGCTGTTCTGGGAACATACCACTGCATTCTGAACCAGCTGAAGCTTCCGGATATTCTTCAAGGGCAGCCCCATGTAGAACGCATTACAGTACTCCAATCTGGAGTTGACTAGGGCATGAGTGACTGAGTAGACCTTCCTGACCTAGGAACTGGTGCAGCTGATGCATAACCCGAAGCTATGTAAAAACCCTTCTAGTCATGACTGCCAACTGCTCTTCAAGCAGGAGTCATGAGTCTAGGACCCCCAGATTGCGCACTGGGTCAGTCTGGGGCAGTGCTACCCCATCCAGCACCGAAGATGGGTTCAGAAGTCCCTGAACCAGAAGGCTCCAAGACCCAGACGTACTCAGTCTTTCCAAGGTTCAGCTGAAGCCTGTTGTCCCCCATCCAGACCCCCACGGCCTCCAGGCACTGGGATAAGACATTCATGGCAGCACTTAATTCGCCGGGGCAGAGATGTATAGTTGAGCATCATCAGCATATTGATGATACCCCACCCCGTGGCAATGGATAAGCTCACCCAGCGGTCTCATGTAGATGTTAAATAGGAGAGGGGAGAGCACCGAACTCTGTGGCACCCCACATAGTAGGGGCCAAGAGACCTCTCCTCCCCAATCACCACCGACTGGAGTGGAGGCAAACCAGCACAACACAGTGCCGCTGTGAGTCAATCCAAAAGGCTACCATGGCTACCACCCCCAATCCTCTGAGTCAATTCAAAAGGCTACCATAGTCTTTCCACGATAGTACTGAAAGCCACCAAGAGATCAGGTAGGGCAAGGATGGATGCACAACCCCCATCCTGCCCACAACAGAGATCATTCAAAAGTGCGACCAATGCCATTTTCATCCCATATACGGGTCTGAATCCTGACTGAATCCTGACTGAAAAGGATCCAGATAATCCGCTTCCTCCAAGGTCCTCTGAAGCTGTTGTGCAACTGCCTTCTCAACCACCTTCCCCAGAAAGGGGAGGTTAGATACTGGATGAAAATTGTCCAGTAGAGTGGGGTCCAGCAATCGCTTCTTGAGGATGGGATGAACCAGGCCTCCTTAGGAGGTAAAGGACCAACCCCCTCACTCAAAGAATTCACCACGCTAGGACCCAGTCACGTGACACCACCTGGGCCACTTTCCCAAGCCAAGAGAGGCATGGATCTAAAGAGCAGGTGGCTAAGCTCACAGTCCTAAGGACCTTGTCACATCATCACATTTAACAGATTCAAACTGTTCCCAGATAACTGGGCAAGACTCCACCCCAGGCATCTCCTCTGGACATGCAACAAGGCTGGTATCCAACTGCAAGTGAATCTGAGCGATTTTGTCCGACAGATGCAGAGCAAATTCCTCCATACATCCCTGCAAAATGTTCCCCAGGCCTCCTTTACCCAAGAGAGCTCATGTCACAGGGCTGCAGGGCAGCAATCTGCGAATGCAATAAGGACAGAGAAGTACTGTCGCTTTGCCACTCTTTGCCTTAATAGGGGCTCTAACCTGTGTTCGGTTGAGCTCATCCTCAGCTGAGCACCAGCAATGCTCTAGATGTCTCTTCTCTCATTTCATCTCCCTCAACTCCTCCATAAACCATGGGGAGTGACAGGAACCATGAGAGGGGAGAGGTCACATGGGTGCAATCTGACCAAAAGCCTCAACTGCCCTCTTAATCCAAGCAGTGACCAAGGCTTTGGATGGACTATGCAGCAGGCCAGCAGGAACAACCCCCAACTCCCTTTGAAACCCATCCGGGTCCATCAGTCACCACGGGTGGACCGATCAAATGGGTCCAGCCTCTGTGCAGTGGATAGTGGCATTAGAGAATCCCATGGAGATTAGGGCATGATCTGACCATGACAAGGAAGACACCAAGACACCCCCCCCTCCAATTTCAGATCACATAGCCACTGCTGCAACAGGAACACCAGATCTGGAGCGAGACCACCATCCCATTTTGGGTTCTGGATGACCTGGGATAGGACCATGGCCATCATGGTGGCCATGAACTCCTGAGCCATCTCAGACCCCATTCCTAGAGAAGGCAGACTGAAGTCCCCCAGAACTGTAGGGTGGGTCTGCATTGTTCTTTCTTCCTTATCAGGGGTGTCTGGAAGGCAGACAAAGTGACCTTATACAGGTTTCGTGTGCCATCTGAGTTATATTAGCAAAGACATGCCCAGGGGCTGACTGTGGACCAGATCACAAACCGCCTGTGTGCAAGTTCCAAGTCAAGCTAACCAGTGTCTACAATTTGATCTTGAGCAAATACACACTTATCAAGAAGCATGTGAGGAATCACTTTGGAGCCCTGAACCTCACTGATAAGAAACCAGAGGAACTGTGGAATGAAATCAAAAAGTTGTTAAGGGTGGAACCTTAACAGAGCATTTGAGACAGTGTTAGAAGACTCAAGAAGCAACATTAGAACGATATCAGAAGACATCCAACACAGATACAGACACATACAAACAAGGATAGTTTTCCAAGCTTTCCAAACTCAGAAGGAGGCTCCAGCCTCAAAATGGTATGCTAAAAGATGCCAATCAACAGATGGTAACTGATTCAAAGAATGCTGAAATTCTGTACAGTAGAGATGTCAACATCCAAGATACCTCAGAAAATAGTCCCTATTTACAAGAACCTCTAGTACTAGAAGATGAAGTTAGATCAACACTCTGGTCACTACAAAGTTAGAAGGCTACAGGAATTGATGGAATATGTACAACAACATGGTGAGCAACAGAAGAATCAGTAAAGGTTTTAACCAAACTATGCCAGTAAATCTGGAGAACAACACAGTGGCCAATGGCTGAGGAGGTCAGTGTACATACCAACACCAACAGCAAAGGAACCAGCAATCAAGAAATACAGTATACCACAGACAAGGACTTGGTAGGATATCATTGGAAAAGATTTTCAGATTTTAATTTTTTTAATTTATTCAATTTAGGTACCGCCCAACTCCAAACTGACTCAGTGCATTGTACAATAAAACCAAACATAATAGAAAATATAACACAGTAAGTATAAAAGAAATAAGAAATAAAAAAATGTGCCTATACCTACAAAGATCAGAACTGTGCAAGAAATGGTTTTCTACTCTATGGAAGTCAAAGTTGGACTTTGAAGAAGCAAGACAGAATACTGATGCTTTTGAACTTTGGTACTAGAGAAAATTCCTGAGAATATCATGGATAGCCAAGATAACAAATGAATGGATCATAGAACAAATCAGTCCAGAGAGCTTACTCGAGGCACAAATTACCAGACTCAAATTATTATATTTTGGACCCAATATGCAAAGACCCAGTAGAAAGAGACAGTTTGGTGTAGTGATTAAGGCACTGGGGTAGAAACCGTCCCATCTTAGGCACAAAGCCAGCTGGGTGACCCTGGGCCAGTCACTCTCTCTCAGCCCTAGGAAGGAGGCAATGGCAAACCACTTCTGAAAAACCTTTACCAAGAAAACTGCAGGGACTTGTCCAGGCAGTTGCCAGGAATCAACACTGACTTGAAGGTACAAAAAAAAAAAAAAGCAAAGACTTGGCTCTCCTGAGAAGTCCATAATACTGGGAAATGTGGAAGGAAAGAGAAGAGGACAATTGGTAGCAAGGCAGATGGTCTCAATTACAACAGCAATGGGTGCACCATTGGGAGACCTGAAAGGCCAGTTTGGGGACAGATGATACTGAAGAAGGTTTATCTGTACGGTTAAGAGTTGAGGCTGACATGATCACACACAATATCAATCCATAGTGAATGAGACAAAGGCAGTATCTGGGCCTGGTGTGTTTTCCCAAAACCTGAGTGGGCAAAGGTAGTGATGTAGCCCTTTTGGAGGTCTGCCCACCTGCACTGTGGGTCCTCAACTCAACTGCAAGGCTGGGGGAGAGTGGAAAAGGCCTTGAAAGACACTCCGCCTGTGGCCAGGGCCACACTCCTGAGGCAACAGCATATGAATACTCCGGTGTGATAAATCCGGGCTTCTGTCCACTATGGCGCCCAGCAGGATCTGCGCCTGAGCAATTGCATCTTATCTCACCATCCGTTTGGAAAGAATAAAAACAGTTGGCTAAAAAATAAATAGGAAAAAAAAATAGAACACTCTTCTAAGAGCCAATAGACTTGAGATACTATTACAGCATAATCCGCATAAAGCAGTGCTGAAGCAGGGTTATTTGCAAGTTAGCTGAGTAACTGTATCGAATTTGCTCCCTTAGCAGCAAAGCAGCAATGAGACCTAAGATACGACATCCGGAAAAGCAAAGGGCCGTTGGTTGCTGGAATCCGTTTTCAGGAGCCTCCGCCAAACCGAGCATCTCCAGGGCACTTCAAGAACGGGCTCCCTCCGGGCTCCCAACACAAGGCACCTCGCTTTCACCAGATTTTGAACTGGTAATACGATTCTGCATTTTCTGATGGTGCATTTTGGTTTTTCTCATTTCACATTTAATTGACTGTTAGCCCCCCTGAGTGCTCAAACTGAGTAGACAGGTGGGCTTGTAAATGATACAAACAGAGCCAGATAAATAAAGGGAACGACTTCATCAGTTTTTCATTTTCCTCTCCCACCTGGGATCTGATTTAGCCTGTACCACTCAGAAAAAGAAGCCAACTAAAAAGGAAAAGACAATACTCAGAAAATATTTCAATTTGAAACCCAAAGCAATATTTAAATGTTGTTTGAATGTGATATTTGGACTATATTAAATACGGTTGCTTTATTCCCCCCAAACACAAAGGATGTTTAATTAAAGCCCTTTCCGTTACTGAAATATAAATAATTGAAATATGTTCCAATAACAAAAATGGACTACAGAATAAAGGGACTGGAATCCCTTTGTTACACTCAAACAAACTCAAAATTTTACTAGAAAAAGATTTTGATTGAAACAAGCTTGTCAATATTTTAGTTTTGAAATGCATCACCTTTGCATTTGACAGGAACACACAATAGTGTATTCTATCCTACAAGGAAGAATTTGTGGGGGGGACCAAAACCAAATTATCAGAGACCAAATTTTCCACAGCTGTTGCTGGGAACATGGCTTGTCTCCTCCTTTCCTTTGGGCTAATGGTGAAACAGAAATCTCGGCGCCAAGATGAGCCCTCCAAACAAAGGTTCTGCACTAAGAATGTTATGGCTGTGGCCAATACTAACCAGCATTAGGCTAGGACACGAGTCTCTGTGGGACTGCCTCTCCCACTAAGAGCTACTCCAACCAGCAGGAGAGGACCCTCAGAAGATGCTCCCTCAGCCAGAAACATGTGGGAAAGGGCCTTCTGCTGCTGCTGCTAACCTCCCTCCCAACACACACACACACTCACTTAGGAAATCTATCTTCTAAGGAGGGATGTTTGGCCCCCAACCTCCCAGGATTTAGGAAGATGGTAACATACCCCTCTTTCACCAAGCTTTTAAGTGCTAATTATTTTAATGAGGATTTTAATTTGGGAATTGATGTGCCTTGTTTTAATTTTGTTATGTTTTATGCTTTTTATTGTTGTTAGCCAACTTGGAAGTTGGACTAAACAGAAAGTCAGGGCATAAATTCAGTAATTGCTGCAATTTGCATTTTAGCCTGAAATTTAACTTGTTTTGCTCAAATGAAATGGTGGAAACACTGCATATGAATGCTCCGTGTCTGCCCCCATCACGGTGACAAGGACTGACCACACTATTTTGCCACAGATGGGCTGGCACTTGTCATGGCATCAGTAGCATTGCTGTTGCTCTCAAAACCAGAGGTGCTTCTGCACCAGGAGACAGCCTGGAACGGAAGAGGAGCCCACCGGCTTCTGCAGCCAGAGGGGCGGGTGGCCAGTGAGGCCCAGGGTTCAAAAGCATGCTAACAACCAAGAGGCCAAGTTCATTCAGCTTGTGACCTTGGCTACCTCAACCTTGGTTTCTTCTTTCAGGACTTTGCTTTCTGTGTGAACCAGCCTGCTGAGTAAAATCACACGCTTTATGATTTAAAGTGGCTTCTATATGGTCTCCGTGAGTTTCAGGACTGGATTGATTTTATGCTCGCATCATATAGATACATTTTTCTGTTTTCCCTTATGTTTAGTTTATTTTAATCGCTGCAATATGTACAAGTTCTTTATTGTGCTATCACTGATGTATCATTAGGTTTGCTTCTTCGTTTAAGAAAGTGTAGGGTTGAATGTCTTCGTGGAGACTGGCACCCAAATTACATGGGCTGTGACAGTCCAGCCAGCAAGGCCTCCCTGCTCGTCCCCCTCCCCACCCTCGCTTGTTGCAGTCCACAGAAGCAGAAGAAGAAGCCAGGACGCCCCCTGACAAACACACGGACCCGCGGACTGCTCAGGAAGCTTGAAATTCCCAGGATGAACAGAGAGGAAGAGCTGTAACAAGCATGGCAACCACAAACCTAATCTCACAGCCCGCTCTCCTCTTTCCCACACTTTGCACTGTCTGGAGACCAAGGCACCAAACGCGGGACACGTTTTGTAGGCAGCCATCAAAAACCAGATGCTAAATCGAATGAGTTCATCTCGGGCTCTCACACCTGTGACACCACAACCCCTTAAAATGATCAATCTGTGAGACTCTCCCCCCTCCCCAGCAAAGCAGAAGTACTGCTCATGCTTTCCCTGAGCTGTGCTCTCTGCTTTGCCTGGTCAGCTTCAAAACATTTTCTGACACCCCCTCCCCCCAAAAGTTGCTTAATCAATCCCTTCCCATACACATGGACATACACAAGCCTTTGGCTACTAGCTCTGGCAAATTACTCCTGCTCTGTCTTGAAAGACTGCCTGGTTGGTCTTTCCAGCGTATGCCCTTTGGGGAATTACACTCCTTTCCTGGAGCCGGCGGTCTCCACAGAGCAGATCTATCGAGGCAGACTCTTCTGTTCTCATCAGAAGGCTCACGTGTAAGCACCCCTCTTGCCCAAAGCGGGGGGCTCTAAGCCCATTCTCTCACAAGGGTGGGAGAAAAAGGGCAAGGCATGAGCCCTTTCAGCTACAACAGGGCTTGCCTCCTCCTTCACCTCCTTGCACACTGGAGAGCTACTGCTGCTCTTCTTACGGGCTCTGGGTTCTGCAGTTATAGCTTACCGACAGTGGTGCCCTGAATTTCTGCCCTCGCTTCTCATCATTGGAGAGGCCAAGAAAAGTCAGACCTAGAAGCAGTGGGCAAGCACAGAAGAGCCTGCTGGGTCACACAGAGGCCAACTGGACACCTGGGGGGGCTAGCACACAGCAGGGGGCGACATGCCCCTCTCCTGCTCCCTTGCCACGGGCTCTGCTCCAGCCCCGAGGAAACCTTACAGCAATTCCCCCTCCAGGTAGGGGTCAAACTCCCTTTAGGAGTTTGGGAGTTAGGGGGCGGAGTGGAGCACTTTGTCTGCCCACACATGATTTTAGACACCTCGAGCATTAGTTGAAGTTCAAATGCTGAAAGCTCCACAGGGGAGGATGAAGCAGCCTCATCCTGATTTCCCCCTCTGAACTTCCGCTCCTCCCAACAGGCCACTGTCCCGTCTGGGCTGCGGGTGGCTCAGTTTCTCACAGGGCAGAGAAACAGCGGTTCCAGCCACCCTCCAAGGAGTCTTGCTGTTGCAACTCAGCATGAGCCACTGATCTGGCCTGCTCTCTGCCCAACTCACGCAGGAACACGTGATGGATTCCGATAAGCGAACCTTTTCAGACCCAAGGGGGGTTCGCAGCGCCCTTCCTCGAGAGAGGCGGCGTCCAAAGCAGGAGCTGCATAGCGAGCAGCGCAACAGGGAGAGTCTCCAGGATTCCTTCCAGCCTCCTGATCTTCTCCACTGCTCTTCTCTGCACCCGCTGGGGCC